CCCCTAAAATTTTCTCAACGGATTTAGACGATTCACAAAAATGATCAATTTAAGAAATAAAACGGCGGATTTCTGGGTATCCGCGGAAAATTGCCATCCCTGATAGATATATGTGGAAAATGATCATCTTACTGTAATACAGTGGTCCTCAAATAGTGGGGCGCGCCCCCCTGGGGGGCGCGTGAGGCTCCGTCAGGGGGGGCGCGTTTGGCCTCGGGGAACATGCTTTTTTATTTTGATTTTTTTTTAACTGTCCTAGAATAAAGTGCAATTGCACCTCCACTACATTAGGGGGCAGTGGCGCTCACCTTGGCAGAGTGCGCTGGGAGCATTCGCTCGGTGTTTTGTTCGCACTGAGCATGCGCGCTTTGCACACGGCACAGAGTATGAGCTTGAAGTGTAGACACGAAGTCGACAGACGGGGAGAGAGAGAGAGACGGAGAAAAGAGGTCTACCGAAAGCCAAGATGAGTAAATAATAAAAATGACGAAGCGTATGTAGCTCTTGGCGTCACTGTGACTACGGTGGGAGGAAAGACATCAGACAACATGAAGCCAAATGAATTAAGGCGTCACTTAAAGACATTACACCCCAATCTCATTGATAAAAGAGTTTTTTTTCTTCAGAGAAAACGTGCCGAATATTGCCAACAATCATCCCATTTTGTGACTGCTACATGTTGCCATTAATCCAGACATCATCTTTGATAAAAAAAAAAAAAAAAAATCAGCACAAATTATTATTATTATTATTTAATATTGTGCTCCTGAGATAATGTTGGTGATTAGTTTGAATGCATTATTAGTTATTGATTTTATGTAATTTTATTTTTCAGTGTCATATGGTTTGACATGGTCAGTCAAAAAATATTTAGAGTTAAATTAAGGATTTAATTTTACTTTTGAATTTCAGATGCACTTTAACTCTTTTCTGTTATAGTTAATAAAGCTAATCTTTGTTGCAAGTTGGTCCATATTTCTTTTTTTATTCTCTTATACGTTAATAAGGATACTGTCTTATGCAGAGGTGTACTTACAACAATTTTATACACAAATGATACTACAGGTATTTATAGTCACAAGGGGGGGCGCGAGATGTTTTCTTCTTCTTGGGGGGGGGCATGACAGAAAATAATTGAGAACCACTGCTGTAATACATACCTGTGTGGTGGCAAGGCCATTGCTGACGGTGAAGCTGTTGATGGTGACTTGTATTTGGCCTTGGTTGATCATGTTAATGATTGCTTCAGCAGCCGTGTTCATGGGAATCACAGGCATAGACAATGCTCCATTTGTGTCTGCAGCAGACTCCTGATTGTTGTCACATTTCATCTGGCCAACAGAATAGATTCCTCCAAAGTTTGAGTTGCATGTTTAGCAAATTTTGTACAAACAAGTCATCCTTATTCAACTGTCAGGAATAACTTACAAGTGGATTAGTGCACCACGTTCAGTGTTGTTTAACAAAAGCACTCAGATTATTTTTCTTCCACCTTCAAAAATGTTATCTACCTTGATAACTTTGACATCTGGCAGACTGTCCAAGAAGGCCTTCAGATCGATACCATTGAGAACGATGCGGTTGTCAAAGATGTGTCCATTTGACTTGAAATCAATCACTGCCTTTTTCTGTGGTTACAACACATAACGGCACAATCTTGTTTAAAAAAAAAAAAAAATCAAGAAAATTGAGCAAAAAAAAAAAATGACAGCAGGTGGAGACAGTACAAACCTTGAGATGAGGAAACATGTTGGCATGATCACCAATGAAAAAGGTATGTGGCATAAAGGCAACCTTCTCAGAATATTGCTCAACGACTTCCCCAGGTGATGTCTCCTTATCGGTGATGATGTAGTCCATGAAGGGCGCGCCGCTGGTTCCAGGGTAACCTAGCCACATAGCCTAAGGAGAAAACAAATGACTTTAATTTTTTTTTTTTTTTTTAAAGTCAAGCCATACACGATTGACTCTCAAGAGACACAGCCAAGATGAAGCTTAAAATTATTAAGCATCAATAAGCCTGTCATGATAATTGTTTTAGGGATGATAAATTTTCTCACAATAAACAGTTTTTTAAAATGCTCATCACCCATGACATTTTCTAATGAAATAAAGGTATCTTGGCTCAACAAATGTTGATTTCTATGTGATTTAATCAATAATCTTCTAATTTAACACTCAAATTGTTGAATACATTTTATATGATCTTCGTAGACTTACTTTGTATAAACATATACAATCCAGCAATTTCAAACAAGTTATAATTTTTCAATGCAACAGTGACCTTGCATTGGAGCTACACGGACTGCACGCTGGCTGGTCTCACTGTCAATCAATTTAGCCACTCGAAAAAGTTATCTGGTACCAGTCATCAGTCTTTTTAAATTCCTGGCGGTTGTAGCCATTGTTCTCAGAACCCAAAGTGCATAAACAAGCAATGAAATTATGCAAAAATGGCACCCTAGACGATAGCTGTAAGCCGTACGATGGTTGGCATTCACGCTACTTGGTTATTATTATCGATACTCCACTCTGCTGCACCTCACTAAAAACACAAGAGTTGTGCGTGCACGAGACATGTCAGCCGAACTGGAACAGTCGCACTGAACCATTTTTCTTACCGTTTGTGTACTTATGAGGGCCGACTACCACAGTAGTTGAATGACGGCAGAAGGGAAGGAGCAGTGCGAGTGATTGATGATGACGTATATAAAGAAACGCTCGTAAATGACCATTGATCAACTCTCAATAAACTGTCATGTCTATTTTTTCCTCATCCAACAGTAAGTCAATATAGCAATTATCCGTATCGTGACAGAATTTTGCATCAATATGTTGATCTCACCTGAATAGGAGCAGGGCGCAGGGCAAATAGCTCGTTTCTGGCCCCTTTGGTGTAACCATTCATGTTGACCAGAATGTGGACCCCGTCCTGATGAATACGATCGGCTGCCTTGCCATTACAAGGAATCTACAAGTAGAGATAAAAGAATCTATAAAAATCCCGAGACTATTTTTTATAAATATTAATTACACACAGCTCTATTTGTAGCCATGACCTTCAGAAAATACAAGACGTCACCTGTGAGAGGTCTGTGAAATTATGAGCCTCTGCCACGACTTTCACTCGAAAGTTCGTACTGTCATCAGGGCTCAGTGCGTAGCAAAACACCTTGGGTGTGAAAGGGAAAGATTACATACTGAATAGGAATGATGAAATATTTCTATAAAACCCTACCCAATTATTCTTTTTGGTAAACTTCTTTGCAGCTTCAATTTATAACTAATAAATTGACTTGTTTACAGTGACTCACCTCAAATTTCTCAGGATTGTGCATGCCAGGAATGGACTGCATCAAGTGGGAAGTCGGGTGGTTGCCAAAGTCTGAGCTGACATAACCAACACGCAGTCGTCCACCGCTGGCCGTCAGGTCTTTTGGATGCTCGTAAGCAGGTTTGTGCAATGCATTGATCTGTTCAATAAGCAAAAGTGGAAAAATGGTACGAGTCAGAGGGGTTCATTTCAGAAGCTACACTAGGAGGTTGCATTATGCACTTTGCTAAAACACTCTCAAAACCCTGGTGCAAATAATTCAAATGTGGCTTGGAAGAGAAAGTGTACCTTGTCCAGGCAAAGGTTCCCATGGCGCTCAGCAATGGCCTTGCGAAAGCCGTGAGAGAGTGGATACAACATACTGTGGTGAGGGTGAACCGATGGTAAGCGGTTCTTTTCCAGTTGGTCAGCAACAATGCTCACTAGTTTTTTCATTCGTTCATCATAATCCGTCCAATCGCACACAATCTAAAAAAATTGGGAGAAATTACATCACGTACAGCAATGCTGTCAAAAAGTAACACAATCCCAAACATTGAATATGTAAATGGTAAGAATACAGTATGAAAAAAATCCCCACCAACCTGCAAGCAATGTGCCAGGTTACAGTAAGCATCAGGGAAATCAGGCTTGAGTTTCAAGGCGGTGCGGTACGATGCGATGGCTTCTGGGATGTTTCCAGAGTCCTTACAGACCAACACCACCGTACATTAGAAACATGATACATTCTTTTTATAAATAAGAGTCAACCACGACATTATCATGCAAACGTCTTTTTTTTTTTTTTTTGTCAATTCCCATCATAGGAGCTCGGTCAATCCTATAGTTAAAAGTACTGATAACACCGCTCGATATAAATAAAAAATCATAAGGTCATTAGTGACACAGTCAAAAGTCTAACAACGCTTACTTTGTGTATTGAAGCCAAATTGCTGTGAGCATCAGCAAAAGCAGGATTGATCTGGATGGCACGGGTGTAGCACTGGAGGGCCCCTTGCACATCTTGCATTTCCTTCAGCGTGTTACCCATGTTTGAGTACGCATCCGCAAATGTGGGGCTAATTCTGTGAATCACAGACAGTGTTAGCACCTTGTGTAAACCCTCGCTGTTATCTCTGAACAGCATAATTACAGTTTGAAGATAACCTGTGATCTCTCATGTTCTTCCACACCAGATTAAAAGTCAAAACTGTATATAATAGTGGCATTGTCTTAACACAAGTGAAAGAATCACATACATTTGGGTGTGGTGTGTCACAGCTTGACAACAATCAGTTATTCTGTATACTATTGCATGAATATAAACCTGATAGCTTCCTTGTAGTGCATGAGGGCCTCCTGGAGTTTTCCCTGCTGTTGCAGAACACTGGCCAGGTTGGAGTGAGCCGCAGCAAACTCTGGGAACACCTGGACACATTGAAGCCATTTTGATGGTGTCCTCCTCGAACTGATATTTGACCCACGAGTAAACTCTTATCGATCATCAAGCCGTACCTCTAGCGCTTTTCTGTAAAGCTGAACTGCCTCCTCAATGTTGCCCTGTTCACGTTTGATGTTAGCCAAGTTGTTCAGGGAGTCTGCGTGCGTCGGGCACAAACGCAAAGCTGTGTTGTAGCACTCTTCTGCCTCAGACACCTGAAAAAACATTGGTCAAGTTAGCATTTAGTCATTGCTACGTCGAATTAAGTGATAGATCCTTCAAACTTCAGGTCAGTGGTGTGAATCCGTGCTCCAAGTAGTTGCCTTACATTGCCTTTCTCCTTCAGTGCATTTGCCAAATTGCAGTAGGCATCTGGAAAGTGAGGCTGCAGCTCAATAGCTCGGCGGTATGTGTCGATAGCCAGGTCAATGAGGCCTTGCTCATAGTAGACGCAGGCCAGGTTTCCATGAACAACTGCGTGGTTGGGACTAAGACTCAGGGCTCTCAAATATCCCGCCACAGCTCTGGAAACACAACATATGCTAAAGCCTCATATTTAATCAACAACACTGAACTGCACAAAATAAGATTTATTGTAATCACAAATCTGGTTACCTTACACAAGCTAGATCAACAATAGGTACAAAAACGTCAGGATGGAGATGACTGACCTGTCAAAGATTCGGGCTTCCTTCAAAACGTTTCCTAAATTGATGTAGGCATCGAGGAAATTTGGGTCCAGTGTCACTGCCTTGAAAATTGACACACAAGACATACAAGTACACATATTAATATATGGGATGAATAAACAACATTCATACATTTGTTTCTGGGTATTTGAAAATATAGGAACAGACCTTCTCAAAATGGTGTATGGCCAACCATATCTCCCCCTGGGCATTGAACACACAGCCCAGGTTGCTCCAAGCCACTGCGAAGTTGGGCTGAGTCTCAATGGCTTTCAGGTAGCAAGCCTTGATTTCCCAGTGGAAAAGGCAACAGGAATGGAAAAGAACAGATGGAAAGGGAAAGTATAGCACGGAGAGGGGAGGACATGGGATTGTTAAAAAAAAGAAAAGAAAAAAAGAGTGTGTGTGGGAGTGGGGTGGGGAGAATAAAAGCAAGAAGAAAAAAAAACAACAAAAAAAGGGAAGAGAAAGCAAAATTAGTGACTTAACTCCGGGAAAACAAAAAGTGAGTCTACAGCACGGGCTCGCCTGCGCACAAGTCTGCTGCGCTAAGCTGCATTGCTTTTTCCTACGCTGCGCAGATCCAACCAACACCTACACATCGGCCCTCATCGTGCAGTTATGGCCACAATTTTAAAAGCTCAGTGGCAAAATTAATACCTAACAGTGTGAACTGACTTCAAACCACTGGAGTAGTAACAACCCAAATTGCTACACTCCATTACTGAGCCAAATAAAGTTTGTGTGAATTTAAGCAACGCGTCTTATGAAGGCATGACAACTCACAACCTGTGATGGTGAACCGATTGTGCAGGTCATGGTCCCTGAAATGCATGCGCGACAACATCAGCAGGTGGGGTTGCTGCCACCACAATGCACCACGCCTGCGCAGCCTCGCTGCTGGCAGAGGCCATCGCTTTGCTGCTTCGCTTTGCTGCTTCGCTTGCTATACGGCCTGGTGCAATAGCCACAGACCGACACCCTGCCACACCAGACTGGCACACGCCACACCCAGCATCTCTTTGAATAATTGCGGTTGAAGAAACATTAGCACAGCAACAGGAGCCTAGGTTATGATGCAAATAACATGGGACATTTTGAAGTCAGTAGGGACTGTTGAGAGCAAACTTGTACATGACCAAAATCCAGAGATATTGGGGCATTTGGGAGCGAGGCTGGTTTTAAGGGTGGGGAGGTCTGCAACCAAGAGGCCATAGGGGTTGGGGTAGAGGGTCGCATGCTGGCGCGCTGTGCCTTTTTGGTTGCCTGGAGGGCTTCGCTGCGCAGCCCCTGCGCTACTATAGACTCACAGCGCAATATCTGCATCATCAGAGCACTGCAACTCAATAAAGAAGGGAAAAATAAAAAAACAAAACAGGAAAAATAATCAAGAGTTATGTAAGAGTTAGAGCGTTCTTACTTGTTTTTCACCATTACGGCTTCCAAATCCAAGTTTCTTTATACTTAATTTAGAACTCAGTAATTAGTATAAGCATATCTTAAAAATGCTTACTGTCATTTCTTTTGCTACTTTTCTCATTTGCTCTTCAAGAGATGCCACGAGAGAGGAGCTCAAGCGTGAAGTGAGGTGGTTTTTCTTTTTGGTGGCTGTTACAAACCCGTTACCATATTTTTGGACTTTGTCAGAGTGGTGGCCGCGGCTGGCTGGAAGAAGAGAAGACTGAGGCTGCCCCTAGTGTTCCTTTCCGCCGGGCACCTACGCAGGAATAGTGTCACCCACCTGAAACCTTCTATACAACAATTTCAGTTGAGGGAAAAAAACCAAAAGAGACAAAATCAGAAACAACATTGTTAGTAAAGTTGATAAACAATGCATTGGTCTTTCAATTTGGAAATGTAGCAGGTTCTTCCAAAACACATCAAGCATAACCAACTATTTTTAGTATTCATTCATGCAAAAAAATGTTTGAAAGAAAACCCAAAAAATGTTTTGGGGGAGCGAGATGGGGAAGAAAGGCTTTTTGTACTTGTAACTTGAAGTCCTATCAATTGTACGAATTCAAATGAGCTGTCACTACAGGAGGGCAGTTACAGGCTTGATCTTAAACATAATGAACTGATCCCATTGCGTTGGGGAAATTACATATCTGAAGTAAAATGGAACAAGAGTTAATCGTTGATTTTCTGCCTTTTAGCATTTTCAGGAAATATTTTAATGCTTACAATGCTTTGTCCTGGCCTGCTTTCTTGAATCCTGGCCAATGGGGTAGGGAGAAAAGTCTGTGGTTTATTTGGATCTAGAAGCCTCCACAGCTCTGAAATGAAGAAGTCATCGCTGTTGCTGCGCACGCCTGTCCTTTTCGAACCGCATCTGACGCAGGCGGTGGAGTGCAGATTGTGAGCTGTCTGCTTGACACTGACGGAAGGCACCACTGAAAGGCACCCAAGTTTAAGTTTTTACAACTTATATGGGTGACTATATCATGGCATAATAGAAAACATGGCATAGTGAGGCACAGTTGACTAAAAGAAAGAATGGGCACATGAAAAGCACTTTGTGGGAGGGTGGGTGTTAGAAAGGTCAGGAAGACAGCTCTTGGCGCGCACACTCCACCAATCCTTAGCAAGCGCGCGGGGGGCCAGGGAGCGACAGAGCTGAGGAGCTTGGCACTCCCTGATACTCCATCCCCACTCCTTTAACCCCCCTCATCTAGCATAAAATAAGAGGGCCTGTAACCACTAGTTCAACTGCACACCTCCAGATATGACTCCGCACAGGGAGCTGCTTTTAATCGGAAAAGAATTCAAGTGGCAAATAGAAGCGTAAATGTTCTCAGTGTGAATGTTAGGTGGGGAGGAAACGTGTGTAATGTCCATTAACTGGATATAATACTGGAGTACAGTGGTGAGGTTACAAACCATCTTATCTTTGGCACTGCAAATAGAAACTAGGTACTTATCAGTTCATATATTCGTCACAGACCGAGCCAGCATTTTCCCCCCACAGTCAACTATCAATTGTATGGAAACATTATAACAGATGGCAAGTGTTTGACCTAATAGAGCCTTTCTTCCTAAAGGGTAGAAATGACGTCTTTTCGAAGGTCAAAGGAAACCAAAAGGAATTAGGACAACTGGTAAGATACGGGGTTGAAGGGAAATGTCTACAATACTGGGGAAAACTATTTTTTAAAAATTCTATAGAGAATGTTTTATCATTAAAATAATGATTTATTAGTGTATGTTTACTCACATGGGCTTTATAATTTAAGATAAACGTTTTTTTAAAAAAACATGTATGCAATGCACACTTTTTAATGAGAGAGGAGAAAGACCTGTTTTCTGATATATAATGGGGCAAACTGCGGTAAAGGTGAGGGTCTCTATTTGCTTAAAAAGGAGAAGAAAAAAAAAACGTCAGTGGCCTAAGGACGGCTTTAATAGGAGGGGTGACACAAAAAACAACACACAGAAAATCCAATCAAAGCACCACATTATTTCAAACACCAGACCAGGACACCAGACATACCTTGGCCTCTTCCAAGCGCCCAAGTGCTTTAAGCAAGTTGCCCAAGTCACTGCGCACACAGTAAAGATCCTGAGAAAGAGAAACAAATCACTTCAATATTTTGCAAACAACTGCTTTTAAGCTGACAATTGTTTGCTCTTGCTACTGATGGCTTGATCTTAGTCCAACGTGTAGTGCTCGACTTACAGGGTTGTACTGTAATGCAGACACATAAGCCTGCACTGCTCCTTCCATGTCCCCTGCGGCGACCAGAGCTGCAGCCAAGTTGATGTATCCGTCGATGAAGTCCGGCTTCAGTCGCAGAGCATGGCGATAGTGTTCAATGGCCTCCTGCAGTTGCCCTCGCTCCTTGTACACATTCCCCAGGTTGGAGTATGCCTCGGCCAGCATTGGGTTCTGTTTAATGGCCAGTGTACTGAAATGAGCTGACCTGTTGGATTAGAAACGGGACAGATTGGTCAAAAATCCGCAAGTGAATTTCTGGCACCAAGTAATATGTGAAAGGAAATCTACAGTATATATCTATCCATTCCCTCATATAGCCTTGGACACGTATTGATGCAATCGCACCCTTGAGAAGAAGCAATAATCAAAGCAGAGAGGTCAGACACATATACTTGGACATGCAGAAACTTGATGTATGCAACTTGGTGGAGTGAGTACATGGGCCTTCTGAAATGCTCACTTTAAAACATTATCTTTAAAAACAAGGAGGAAACTCATGAACCCGCTCAAAGACCTCACACTGAAATTAATATTAGACTGTTTATGTGCCTTTGTATGTGCTGCTGTTTTGGTTAGCATCGGGGGTCATTGGGGTCATCAACCAAAGATTTAACATTCCTGTATGAATGATATGTAGGGGCTGAAGGAACGACACTCGGCATCGGTTTTTATTTCATGAGGGTGAAAAAAGAAGCCATCGACTTAGCTTGAAAACGCAACTGGCAATATATAACGTATTACAGAACAAGACACACTTCTACAGTTGTCCAAACAAAATACACTCCTGAACTAAAACTCATATTGAAGCTGTGATCGTTGGTCATATTGTATGCAACCTCAGGCATGGCTCCCGGACTGTTTTCTCTCCCAAGCTAAAGGAAGTTCGATCAATACAAAGGGGGGCTGAGAAAATTATTCATAAATATATCTTAGAATATAGATAAAATGCTGGAGGGGCTTAACTTGGATGATACAAATTTCTGACGGTGCTATAGCACCAACTAGACCCGGATTCGCGCCATTCCTGCCCAGCCTTAATAGTCCCAGCATACAAGAGTGGCACAGCCAAAACAGACCCAAGCGGACAATCACGAAAACAATTAAGAGTTGGCGATTCTTCACCCCACACCAAGCAATTGAGCACCGCACACCTACTGACAGGTTCTAGCAGAAAAAAAAATGCAATACCGAATAAGGATTTGGACTCCAAATACAATATATACCGGTAACATACTGCATTCATTATTTTTTTTTAACTATGAAAATTGTAAGAATATCAAGTGGAGAGCGTATTAATTTGGACTTTAAGGGAAAATGTTTTCAAAATTTCATCAACATAACAACCATCATTTGGACGACAATTATTTTGATTAGGACTCAAAAGTCGGCCTCTTTTCTGTGTGAACATACTTGAACTGAATATCGATTTGATCTCATTGATGTCGAACAAACTAGCGTCCTGCATGTTCAACATTTTCAACCTGAAACATGTAAGATAATAATTTCTTGATGAAACCTGTCAATAAAGACCTTAGCCACTGAGGCCACTGCTGGGAGGCAGTATTTAATTAATGAGCAAGCAAAACTCAGAAAAATGGTTCTTTGATGACAGAGAAATCGTTGACTCCCCGCAGCTACACCGCATCTGTGTTGCATTGGACCCATGAAGAGCCCACCTCACCTACCTGTCAAGCCTTCGGCACTGGAAGTGAATAGAGGAAAGGAGCAGCAGCACGCCTGTGTTATCAGGCTCCTGACGCCAAAGCTGCATGCAGTGGCGCTCTGCTGCCTCAAAGTCCCCTGACTGATATTCCCGATGTGCCAGCTCAGCCAACCCTTGGAAGGAAAGAATACGTTTTGACGATTCTGGAGCACCAACACAGCCCAAGGAACAGGGGGGAAGGGGGAAAACAAGACATTAGATGTGATGGATGGAAAATGGCAGACAAATGAAAAATAAATTATAAATACTGATCACATATATATTCAACAAAAAACAAGATGGTGATTTTTATTCAACGATAAAAAGTTGAGGGTAACATCTTTCAATACAAAGTGAGGGAAAACAAATCTTATAAATTGGGCATTCTGTGAAGACGGGCATGTTTCCATGCATAAAGAACTGCTTACACACAGTAATGTAAAAAGACTGCTCGAGCATAGTTTATTTAAAATGTGCATGCTGCCTTGAAAACATGCAAATGCTTGACTTAAAATTGATGACAAAATACATGCATGGGGTGACAAAACAAATATAGGAGCGGGTCAGCATAGCATCATTCATTTACACAGAGGATTAGTATCAATGCTCAAATATTGCTTTTACATTACTCCTGCATATTAAATCGTACGTATTAAGGAGGAATTAGGATGCAGTTAACCCTGCAGAACAGGAACTAAGACAAATTCACATCAGCCATCGCAGCCTTGATCATGTGACAAATGTCTTATATAATCAAGCTAGACTCTGACAAGACGCAGTTGTCTTTTTAAAACCACTACGATACAAGATACAGACCAAAATGTTCACGTTGTACCAACTCGGTTACATCAACGCTCAAAATGACTGCCGGTTTCTGTTCCCCCCCCCCCCTACTTCTAACGCCATTTCATATTTTAAAAGGGAACCAACCTGTGCTATCAGCCACGTTCCCCACGGAGGTCGTCATCTCCTCGGTCTTCGAGTCTTGCACGGTGGACGTCAATGTGTCAGCCGGCAGGTTTACAGTTTTAAAAAAAAAAACGTGCTACCGGGCAGTCGTCTTTGTGCAACAACGAGCAGCAAGCACGTTGCCAGCCAAACGGCAAGCCGTTACCTTTAATTTCCGTCACGTCACGCGCCGCTACGTCAACGTTGTAGTTAATATCTGTTTGAAAAATAGCTTGCCAATTCAAGTCGATACACGATAAATATTCGGAGTAACATCAAACGTACTTTTTTTAAGATAAGGCTAGCTATAGCTTCGTGACAACGCACTCAACGAGTAGAAAATGGCGAAGTGGGTGTAACCACATTTTGGCCGGGAAGTAGTTCCTCAGCGTGTCATTTCGATGCAAAAAGCGACGCGTATAAAACATCAAATAATATTGTATTCATCCAACACTTAATACTGTTATGTAAAATGTATGTTTTATTTATCAATTAATCATAATGTTCTCTCGAAACAAAAAAAATACTATAATGCCAGTGGCGAACTATTATGCGCGGAAGTATACATTAGCGCAGTAACGATAAGGACAGTGACTATAAAACCAATGCGCGAGATGTTTACCTGACAGTCTAAAATAAGATCTGTGCAGATATTCAGATGACAACTTTTAATTGCCCACTCACCATAATGTATGTAAAATTAATAACTTGTAAATTCAAAACTAAACGTTACATTAAGGTGAATTGGCATGGTTAGTCCACACTTTTCAGTTAAAAAAAAGTTTATTAGCGTGAATTCAAATTGACCTGCATCTTACTGAGAGTACAGTACTATTGTATTCTGATTCATTTATTACTCATGACAGTCGTTCAACAACAATTTACCACCGCCATAATATAATTCTTTAGCAATTATTCATATAAATCAGGAACATATTAGGAAACGTGTGGGTGGGTGAGGGGTGGGGGTGGTACATAAGGTACCGAGGTACACCCTGAACTGGTTGCCAGCCAATCGCAGAGCACACATAAACGCACAACCATCCACGCTCACACTCACACCTCAGGAAACTTTAGAGCAGCGGTTTCCAAAGTCGGTTCTCAAGGGCCGCTGTCCTGCCTGTTTTCCAGCCCTCCCATGAGCGACACACCTGATTCAAATAATCAGGGACGTTCTAACGCTGCTTCAGAGCTGGCTGATGAGCTTACCATCTGAAGCAGGTGTGTTGCAGCCGGGAGAGCTGGAAAACAGGCAGGACAGCGGCCTTCCAGGCCATGCCTGCTTTAGAGTGTTCCATTAACCTGCCACGCATTTTTTTGGAATGTGGGAGGAAACTGGAGGACCCGGAGAAAACCCACGCAGGCACGGGGAGAACATGCAAAACTCCACACAGGAAGGTCGGCACCTTTGCACTGTGAGGCCGACATGCTAACCAGGGGCTGCCCGATTAGGAAACAATGATTTTCTAATGAGATAGAAAAGGCGGGTATTTACTATGTATTGTTTTGATGTATTTAATAATTGTTTGGTATATTCTCAGCTGTTGTCACCCTGTGGCCCACATTTTCCTAATTGTGATTCCCTCGCCACCCACTTTTATATAAACCAAGAACAATAAAGAAAATTCTTGTTCAAAAGTTCCATCCATTTTCAATACAGTACCGCTTATCTTGAACATGGTCGCTGGGAGTGCTGCAGCCTCTCCCAGCTGACTCGAGGTGAAAGGCGGACTACACCCTGAACTGGTCGCCAGTCAGCCGCAGGGCACATGTTGAAACGACCAGCCATTCACATCCAGATACACACCGTCATTGAGCGGGAACTGACCCCATGCCGTATTAAAAAGTTGCCTTTGAAATTATATATTATATTTTATACATACACAATAACAATAGTAAAATCCTAATAGTAAATGCAACATCTGTACAGAAAAAAAACATCAATATAAGTTAATGAAAACCAGTGAGTTGTATGTTGATACTGTCTTAAACCAATGGTTCCATGTATTTTTCCCTGTCCGCGACCCACCTAAAAGGAATCCACGATCCACTTTTGGGATCTGACCCATCAA